TGATGTCATTTTTCATTACACTGGAATGCTTTTGTATCCAATAAAAATACTTTTGAATGGAATATGCTTGTGTTGTATTGGTGTTGGGTGATGGGGAGGCTGGGCCTTGGTCTCAGCTCTTGGTGCCAGCGGAGCTGGGCATACAGAGAGGGAAGAATCTCTCTTGCTGCCTCAGGGCAGCACAAAACAGGACCAACACTGGACCTAAGGGAGGGAAGGGACCTGTGAGCACCAGGCTGCTCATGGTGAGGTTGGCAGGAATCTCCCAAGCAGAGAGAAGGGGGACCCCACTCACCTGAGCCAGAGCTCTCCCAGGAGCAGACAGGCTCCTTCACTGCCTCTTCACGCTGCTGCCAGCATCAGCACCAGCTCTGCAGCCCCTTGCTCCCTGGACGATGCCGCTGAACGGGGACAGCCACATTAGACAGCCTGGCTGGGGACTGAGTCCCCCCCTACAGCAAGAGTTCCCTGCCCACCCCACCCAGCTTGGAAAGGGGCATCAGGGAGGGCAAATCCCATCTCCAGGCACTGCACAAACAGCCCTGCTCAGGCCCGGGCAGGCAGCAGGTATGCACACACGCAGGCACGCCTGTTTGTGCTAAAGCTGCTCTGAGCTCACACAGCCCTTCCCTAGGGCAGCCCAGCACCAAGACAGGAGGTGCTGTGATCCTCTGCTGGGGACAGCAGCAGGTCCCCAGCCCCGAGCCACGTCCCTCACAGCGAACAGCACACACTCAGGCAGCAGCAAGACCCCATCACAGAGACGGAGACTCAGAAATGAAGCCCCGTCAACCAGGAACCGAGTAAAAGGAGCCAGCAGATGGCAACAGCACTGCAGGAGGTGTCCACAGGCGTGTTCCAGTTGGGTTTGGGAAAACTCTTCTCCAACAGGCGTATCCATCTCTTGCTCCCTTGGGAAACCAGCAGCACCAGTCTGAACCCTGCTGGAAGCAATGAGACCTCAGATGTGTCCCACTGGGGTCCCGAGCTCCTCTGACAGAAGCAGCAGCCTGTGCTCCAGCTTCCAGGTATCAGGAATTCAGCCACAAACTGCTCCAGACCCTTCCTGCTTCCAGGATTTTAAGGAAATCCAGTATGAGCAAAAGACACCAAGCCCTTGGACAGAGCATGAAGCCCACGGGAGCAGAGGTTGTCCACACAGGCAGCTCCATTCCCAGCTACCCCACAGAGGTGCCAGAGGCCGCAGGGCTGGGCACGCAGTGGGGCTGTAACAGAGCCCCAGAGGCCAGCCCAGGGCGAGGCAGGGAGCTCCAGCTCCAGCCCATCACAACCTTCACGCTCTCCCGAGCACAGCAGCACCCACAGCAGCAGCAGAGCTGCCAGGGGACGCTCTGTTCCCACCCTGGCTCCGGGTGTCCCTCACGGGTGTGAGTGAGGCTCTCCAAGCCCACGCAGCAGTGACAGGAGGGCAGCACCTTCCGAAGCCACCATCCTCCAGGCATTCTGCCCATCGACACTTGGGCACAGCATTCCCGAGCCTGTCACCTGGCAGCTGAGCTCCTCCACACGCTGCTCCCCACCTCTTCCCAACTTGCACTGGAGCTTCCCTGAAGTACCAGGAACGAGCACTCCCCGCTCTGTGCCTCCAGCACAGCACAGGCTGCTGCAGCCCCCAGTAAGGAGGTTGTGCTGCTCACGCAGGAGCAGCGGGCACAGCGCCGAGGGCAGGCAGCCCATTCCTCCCTGCCGGGAAGGCTTCCCTAGGGAAGAGCAGGGTGCTGTACACCCCCCAAACCCAGCCCAGCCTCCGGCACAAGTGTTAGGTTCCGCTCCCCTCCTGCTTTGAGCTGATCAAGAAACATGAACATGGGTGATTGGGATAGGTTTATAAAAATTTTGTTTTAATCACACAAAACTGAAGTTTGTGATGAAGACTAAGTTGACAGTTCCTCTTAAATACCAGTGTGCATAAGACATTGCATTAGGCACTAGGCAGCAGCCAACATCAGTTAGAGTCTGGCAACAGAAGCCATTTTAATACCTCCCTTCACACTGTGTGGAGTTACAGCCTTTCACAATACATTGTTATCCGAGGCTTCCCCCCCACCTCTGTACATCAGTAACCCCTGTGGATTCAGAGCAGGGTTAACAACATTAGTGGCATCACAACCATCAAAAAGGACAATTTTCTATACAAGATTTTTGTTTCTTTTGCAAAAGTTGCAACAGGATTAGTGCATTGTGACAGAACCAGAGATAGAAAAGAGGAGTTGGCATGCTGGAGTCCAACACAAAGAAAGACAACAGGCAGCTCGTTGGATGTACTATATTGACAAGATACTGATTGGTTACATGAAGAAACATACAATACAAAATACAGAAGAAACCAGTTTCGCTTCCCTCTGCCCCACCCCAGAATACTCATAATTGATTTGGTCAATAAGTGGCTGAAGAGCCAGAGTTTGTCACTCTAATGCTACAGTTTAGTGGTTGTTCTAGGCATATCGTACTGGGATTAGCCTCAGCTTTTACATACAGGTGATCTGAAACAAGGCTGTCTAGTCTCAATATCCCTTTGTTTCCAATAGTGAACTACAGTACAGTGGGACCTGGGTGCTGCGGGCCCTCCCCGCGGGAGGGACGGGCTGGCAGGGCAGGCACCAGGTCGTGCATCCACCACCACCAGGAAGAGGGAAGAGCAGAAGTTCATATATTAAAAAAGTGACTTAAGACTTAGAATTGAATTAGTATTTGTACAGAAAGGTGCAGGTGGAAGAACTCCCTCCAGCCTATGATCAGAAAGGGATGGAGAAATCACAGCAGCCACCGGCAGCAGCCGCTCTACGGTAAGTGCGATTGTTAGCGTGGATTCCAGTCACGTCATTCCAGGGCTCCGGCAGCGGGACCTCCTGCTCAGTTGCTGCAGCACTGGCTCCTGCTGGGCTGACTGCTCTCCTGGAGGTCAACCACCCGGTTCCGGCCCGCGCCGCCCGCGCCGCTCTGCGGTTCCGTTTTTGGCAGCTTCTTGGCTGGAAGGAGACCAGGAGTTAGTCGGTTCCTGTGCCGAGGCCACCCCCCCAGCGCACACCCAGCCCTGCGCAGCCCCAGCCTCTGCAGGAGCTTGGGACTGGGCACTGCCAGCAGCAGGAGCGCAGCAAACGAGCCCACTCCTAGTGCTGGCTGTCAGTCGGCCCCACTCCTGCCCTGCTCACCTCCCGGATACTGGGAGAGGGAACAGGCTTTGGGGGCAGAGGCTCCAAGCACTCGGGGATTTGCAGAGGTACAAACTGGTCAGCTCCAGCCAGAGCCTCCAAGCCAGCAGGGACGGGAGCCCCCATGGTGTCCATAGGGCTGCAGCGCTGGTGCTCAGAGCTACCCCAGCCACCCTGCAGCACGCGAGCCGTTACCTATTGCCATGAAGATTTCATTCACATTCATCGCTGTCTTTGCAGACGTCTCCATGAACAGCAAGCTGTTGTCATCTGCATATGTTTGTGCATCCTACAAACAATCACATTCGAGTGGTAAAGGCACCCTGCCAACAGGAGGCCCAAGCAGGCTTCACACGCTTCACTTGGTGGCAAATCAAAGCATTTTGCACATAGCCACCATTTCCCCCACTTAAGCAAAAAGCTGCTTCCCTGACTTGCTTGGGTAACAACTGATCTGGATTCCCACTCACCTGGAAGTCCACAGCTCTCTTGGTAGCAAGGTCTGCCTTGTTTCCTGCTAGTGCAATTACAATATTTGGGCTAGCCTGCCTCTGCAACTCTTTCACCCAGTTCTTGGCTCGTACAAATGTGTCCTGGAAGCAAACAGGAGGCAGCAGTCAGGAAGGGCAGCCTCTTACTAATCCACAGTGAAGATATGATTAGAACAAGTCTTTCCTGTAAGAAGTTTTCTGCCTCTACAGCACTTTGTAGCAGGATCCTTTATCACAAGCCTTGGTCACAAGTGAGGAAGAGGCCATGAGCAGTTTTCAGACACTCAGCACCTACAGGCAGGCATCTGAGGGGACTCTGAACCCAGACACTCTCCGGGGAGCTGAGAAGCACCAGCTGCAAGCACAGCCACCTCCTCCCAGTAGACCCCCAGCCCTGCCCAGCACTCACTGTGTTGGTGATGTCGTAGACAACGATGGCTGCCTGGGCCCCCCGGTAGTACATGGGGGCCAGGCTGTGGTACCGCTCCTGCCCCGCCGTGTCCCAGATCTCAAACTTGACCGTTGTGTCATCCAGGCAGACCGTCTGTGTGAGGAAGGCAGCTGAAAGAGAAGGTGCACGTTTGCCCCAGCTCCTCCCGCAGAGCCCCTCAGCAGGAGCCTGCAGCAGTTGTGCTTTGGCAGCAGAAGCCCCAGAGAGGGGCCGGTGCGGAGCTGCTGGCTGTGAAGTCACAGCTCTGCCACATCACCAGCTCCTTGCACATGGGAGCGCAGGAGCCACCACGCAACCGATGGGAAGGTGGCCCCAAGAGCCTGGGCAGCAGCAGCACTGCCAGTCCCTTCCCCAGCAGCTTCCTCACACATCACACAGTGCAGCTGCAGCACCACCAGGATTAGCTTTGGAGAGCACCACAGTGCCAAAGCACTGAAGTCAGCTCAGTTACACCGTACTCCCCAACTCAGTAACTGGTGATTTTCTTGTTCCAGTAAGTATAATACCCTGTGTTACATCCAGGATAAAGGCAACCAGCCCTAGACACAGATTGAAGCAGAACAGCAGAATGCCCACATGATCCTCTGCAGCAGAGCATTAAGCCCTGCTTGCCCATAAGCTATACTTAGAGTTCTACTTACTCCCTGCATGGGTCACTCTAGGGATAAATGAAGCCTCCTCACACATACCTCCTAATATCACTGCCCAGAGACCCAGGTGCTGACTGACCTTTGATTGGCGACACTGTGCCAATGATGTCAAGCTAAAGAACTAGACCTGAAAGAGCTGTGGAAGTAGTTAAGAGTATCAGGCTAGAAACAGCTCCCAAATCCCAGGTCATGCTCCAAAAAGATAATTAAGGGCTATAAACCAAGCTGAAGGCATCGGTTCTAATTAGAAGCAGGAATTCAAGCTCTGGAAGTGGAGACGCCTCAGAGGCAGAGCACACGGTTGCCATAGCATTATCCTCTGCTGTGCTGGTCTTCACACTAACAAACAAACTGCAAACCGAGGTAAAGCTCTGCTGACTCTGACAGCAAAACCCCCGGACCAGCAGCCATTAGTCCTTCTGCTGCCCCTGGACCACGCTCATGAGGCACCCCTGAGCTGCAGGCACTTGGCTTTGGCCTCACCTCCGATTGTGCTCTCCTGGTACTCGTGGAACTGCCCCTTGACGAAGCGCAGGACGAGGCTGGACTTCCCCACCGCCGACTCCCCCAGCAGGACGAGCTTGAACTGGCAGATTTTGTTTCCAGCAGCCGGCCCGTTCGGTCGAGCAGCTCCACCTCGACCTGCCATCGTGGCCCAAGTGCAGGAGTGCCAAGAGTTAAAGGATGCTGCGGGTTCTGTGCTGGGATCCACCTGGAGGCAGGTTGCAACTGGAAGGAGAAGTCAGGGTTAGTGACACAGTCATGGACCAGCCGTACCAGTTCTAGAGGGTTTGATCTGCAGCCACCATCAGCACAGGCAGGTGGTGCCTCCTTCCCGTGGGGGAAGTTATCAGCTGCAGCACCACAGCACCACTGTCAGTCAGCAGCTCCTTCAGCCGCCTCTCAGCCCTCCCAGGCCTCCTTGGAGAAGGGATATTGGCAGCACCACCTTCCCTCCCCACCGCCTCCACTGTGTGTGGCTGCTGCCTCACCTCGCTGGGG